TAATTTGTATCAAAGTATGGATGTAAAATTTAAAAAATACCTATTTCATCGATAATAATTAAGTAATAACTAATAATGTGTAAGTTGTATCTAACGTATCTCTGTCTATGTCTACATCATGATTTTGCTGCACATAACTGATTGTGAGTAAAATGACACAGACAAAAATAAAATATATATCTCTCTAAGCTCTGATTAATTTTGAACAAAAGCGCACACAATCGAACGGCACCGGTGCAAGAAATAAGAACTAAATAAATAAATGGGTTTTAGTGAGTGATTTCGTGTATAATTATTGAAATATGCCACATCCTGTAGGCGCTCACTTAAATCTTAGTGTATTCTGGTTTGAAAACTCTTCTGCATGCAGTAAAGTGCAAGTTGCTGGTTGGATATTCAATCACATCAAAATGAAAAAAAGGTTGTAATAGAGAAGCGGTTGCCACAGCTGCTTTTATCACTTTCACAAGTCTGCAACAAATGGTTAATTGTAGAAATGATATATTTATATCATATTTAATCGTGCAATATGGGAAAATAATTATTTGGACCCGAACATTTTTGAAGGATTGTCCAATGTAGTTGAACTCTGGAAACATAATAACGTTATTTATTATACCTATACTTAGGTACTCGAAATTAAAATAGAGTTAAAAAAGATGATTTTAAAGGAGAATTTAATATTATTTTGTATGAAATACTTTTACAAATTTCTGCTTCGAGTAAAGTAAATAAAACTAGAGATTTTGACATTATTATAGTTTTTCTTTTCCGATAAATCATTTTTAAAATCGATAAAATATAATTTGCTTCAAATTCATTGTATTTAGATATAACAATGTTAAATTTAGATTAGGATTCAAACGAATTTTGAGAACAAATGGAGATTTAAAATCGAAATAAAACTATTTTTTTTGTAAACAATGTTTTATTTTGATTTTGCCTGAATGTATCTATTTGTGGCATTATTTAACGAGATTTTTCTTTGTTATTTTGCCGTACTGCAAGCAAAATAAACTAAACTATAAACTGTTGATTCATATAAAAAATTCAATGTTTTGAGAATGAAAGTAGAAAAGCTTTCGTCACATAAATATAGGTATATGTATGAAGTGTCCCAATATTTGATGTACATGGAACTACTACAGATTGTAGAAGTCAAAATATGATGATATAACTAAACTCATCAGTTTAAAGTTGCTTTGTTTAGCCGCCAGATAGCGTCAATGCTGGCAAAAATGTTTATTTTTTCCACAAATCACTAAATGGAAATACTACCTCTATCTCTGAGTAAGCATTTTTTGCAGAATTCAGTTCTTAGTTTATCTTACAAGTGAATTAATTTATTTCTCTTGTAAATTTTTCTTATTTATAATGTTTTTGCACACTTAATTGCCATCAAAATTCTTTAATTTGACAATGAAAGTGAAATATCTCGTTTTAGCAGTTTAAGAACTCGTAATGACTATTTTTAATATATTACATTTAATAAAATCGCAAGAAAAGTAACAATATCGCACTTGTTTCAGATTCTCCTCATTCTGCAAATTACGAACAGTAGCTTTCCATAGAATTCAATGAATTTATTCATCTTTAAACAATAATACAAATCCCTAATAGGAATTCAAATTTTATAAAGTCACAATTTACAGACTGGGAGAAGTCTGAGATCATTGCCATTTTTGTCTTGCGTTATGTGTCACTGAAATAATTACATTTCTAATATTATTCTTTAAACAACATTCGATTCAAGATTTTTTTAACTGCGCAAAAGTTTTTTATCTCGATTCGGTAAATCAGATTTGCGTGGAATATGATAATAATAATAGTAATAATATACCTAGCTAACAAATAAAATAACTAATTGCTAAAAGATGGCTAAAAATGTGAAACATTCTCAAGAAAAACAAACTGATATATGTAATTATGATAAATTGGAAATAGGAGCTTGAATAAAAAAGTACATATTATGTTTGATTAGGGGCGGAGGAATTTTTCTAATTTATGCAAATACAATAATTTCGTTTACTAAATCACAAAGCAAAACTTCAAAGTAAAAGCTTACCAAATTTTATTTAGAAATACCTGTCGAGAAGGAAGTCTTCTATTCGGCCCGAATAGAAGATTTCCTTCCGAATAATTCGGGTATGCTGCCGCATACAGACGCCTCGCTTCTGATGCATTTCCAGCCGCACGGCCGTACATAAAGTGCATATCTGCCATTTCCGTGTTTGAATATGACTCCATTTTATGAGTTGAAATAATGTGGTATACTTAAAATTTTCCACTCACTACTTTTACTAATTAAACACTGCAAAGCTCAATTGACAGTTTATCAATAACTTACATTGTTAAGCGTTGTGGCAACGTCAGTCTTTTATTTGCCATGGCAAACAGATTTTTGTAATATTTGGCCTAATAACTTAAAGAGCAGAATAATTTTCAAGCTCAATTTACTCGAAAACCATTGGAAATATCGATTTGGACAAAGATAATATTTTTTACGTAAAATTGTTAAGATTTTATAAGTCTGTAGAGAAAATTGTAAAAAAATTGAAATAAAAAAAGTTACGGGCCGAAAACCCTCTTCACCTACCTAAATGGGACGCATATGATTTGCATGTCGAAAAACGGAGTAGCCCATGTTATTTAACGTAAAAAGTTATGTAAGACCCATAAACTTTTTTCTATTTATTTGCAATCGTTTTGTCAATAACAGAAAAAAAAATAGTTTTGTTTGAACCCTTTTAAGGGAATATATAACTTCATAAGGGTGCGTTTTAGGGCACATGTTAATAGGGACTTTTTGGCTTATTTTAATGTGTTATAAACGGAGCAGAAGTTTGGAACCCTATTTTCGAAACACCCTGTATAAACAAGAAACCCAAAACTCAAACACCCTAGGAAAAGCGAATGTAGTATACACAGTGGTAGGTTTCTTCTATATTGTTTATAAAGCACAGCACTCGCTTAAAAGTACTGCATCTTTTTTTTTTTTGGGGGGGGGGTGTCATGGGTTGGGAACAAGTTATTTGCACAAATCGAATTTTTCGGGCGCTTTCTTTGAGCTAGCATAGGGTGATTGATTTTGGGTAGTTCTTAAAATTCCTTAGATTATCCCCTGGTAGTCAAATCGTCTGTTTGATACAAATAGTAGTTTCATTTCGCGGGATATTGGTACATCCTGTATTTATCTACTTCTTATGGCGAGATTTCAAATTATGCAAACATACGTTTTTTTTTAATTAGACGATTTTAATATTTCGTACTTTTATTTTAGTTTAAGGGGTATGGAGCTAATTTAATTCAAGTATAAAAATTTTCCTTAAGTTCTCAATTGATGAAGCCATATATTCACTTTGACACCAATTTAAAGGAAAGGTTTTATAATTGATTTGAATTAGCTTAAAACATTTTAAAATAAAGTAAAAAAACCATAAGTTTGTTTAAAAGATTCGTGTCAAATTCCCTACTTCTTATAAATTTATAAACTCCAAAAGAACTCTCCAAAATATACAGGGTGTTTCTTAATAACGTGCTAATATTTAAGAGGGTTATTCTTGGGTCCATTTTAAGAAAAAAAACTTCATATGAACATATGTCGTAGGAGTCTTAACTTTTGAACTACAGGGGGTTAAAGTTTTATGAAAACACATTTTTTTTGATAACTTTGAAGTAAAATATATTACGCAACTGCTTTTTCTTAAAGTAAAAATCATATTTGGAATCCTCATTCCTTTCTGAGCAAATATGGTGTCTTAAATTTTTTTCGTTCGACGTACGGCTTTCGCATAAAAAAATAAAATTAATTCACTTGTATCTTATTGGACCACTTACGAGATAAAAGATTTATGTAACTTTGAACAATAATTTATTTAAGATACTAACTTTTAAACGTTGAAATTATGAAATTACAGTAATCTACATACATTGTGGAATGGTAAAAGAAAATTACCCTGGCGTAACATTTTTTTTTTCAAAAATATTCAATACAAAACCTGTAAAGACGCCACTGGCAAAAATAATAAAATTGTTTGTACATCAGAAAATGCATCTCGATGAATAGAAGGCGTGTACCAAATTTGAAAAAATATCTAGGGTAATACGAAAGTTATCATAAAAAATGTTTTTTCATAAAACTTTAGCACCCTGTAGTTCAAAAGTTAAGACTTTTAGGACATATGTTCATATGAAGTTTTTTTCTTAAAATGGACCCAAGAATAACATCCTTAAATATTAGCACGTTATTAAGAAACACCCTGTATACTAACTAAAGTACCTATAAGTGACTATTTTGTTTTCAAAAGGTGGGTGAATTTTTAAAATTCATAGTTATAATCAGCAACATTTCTGGTTACGTTTCATTTAGAACGAATTCTAAATTCTGACGGCGGCGCTAGGTATATTAAAGTCCCTACAGGCCCTACGTAGGCACCTACTGACCAAACATAGAAACTGGACGATGAGTTATTAATTGAAATTCGACGAACACGACGCCCGGCCGTGCCCCAGCATCCAATATGAATAGCCCGTTCCGACAAAGTAGCTCCCGTCGGTAAATAATAGATCTATTAGCTAAGTGATGGATCCATCTCAGTAGGCCAGATACATCATTTACGGGCGTCCGATGGCCAAGCGGTGACCCGCGGCCCGCGATCTCCAGGTGACCACGAAGAAGGCCTAACCGTTACCTTCTTCGTCGCCCAATCAGACCCCACCGATTTGTCACCTGTCCCGGCCGAGGCCCGGCCTCCGCACACACGCTGCCAGGAGTTGGCATCCTACTGGCAATCGGATCGCGCAACCGCGCGTCTCGCACCGCCTCCTTGACCCGATGAATTCCGCGGCGTTCGAAGAGTTGGCGTTGGGTCCTAGTCGCCGGACGCCACACGGCAGAATTTCGCACCAGGTGCCGCGCGATCGCGAACTCCCACGACCGGCAGCGATTCCTGCGACGCCGCTGGATCCTGCGAGGCGAGTCGTTAGTCGAACGCCAGCGTTTGTTCAGACTGTACGTGCGGCCAAATCCTCACGCCTGCCGCGTGCTCCTGCCTAACAATAAACAATACCGATAACCACTAACTTCACCCCCTCTGATTGTATGTGTGACCACCCTGTACTGACTGATAATTGTAAACTTCGTCCCCAGTGACTTTGAGACGTTTCTGTTGGACGTTGTAACGTGTCGTTGTGCCAAGGTAAACCAGACTGGTGTAAGTGTGATGGTGTCTGCTTAAATATCAAAGAGAATTCGTCTAACATAGCCCCTCCTACCTTAAGGCATGCCTGGTCCAGAGAATTAGCATACCTGTAAGTTAATATCCTCTACCTGTTAAAATTCTGGTTGCCATTCTGTAGTTTTATAATGAAAGGGACAGGTTAGGCAGGATATATTTATCGTGCGGAATACAGACATCATAAAATAAAATGCGTGAAATGAAGCTGGACAACAAAATAAGTATGTCTCTCCAAAAGCTGTTTGCCTACCTACGTATTGTGACATTTTTCGTCCATAAATATGTACAAATATCTTCATAAGACTCGGGAAGATTTATAACAGGGAAATATGATTTATTGAAATATTAAGCCTCACAAAAATATATAAAAGTAAGTTGAATATAACATTTTTCACAAAGTAATAATAGAGATCATACTCGAAAGTGTCATCATATTAGCTTTTCTTGCAAATTCTACCTCTGCAACATTGTTCTGCATATATTGAAGTTGACATTGTTGACATGTTTTTTTAAAGAGTATGAAGAAGATGTTACCACCAAACATCTTTGCTTTGTAAAAATCAAAAACGTACTTTACGTGTACATATACCTACATTTATAACATTTATGGCTTCATAGATTATAGTGATAAGATTTAAAGTGAAGTGTACAAAATACTTTCCAATTTTTATTTGTTGATTAATCTATCACAACAATTTTCCAAGACTTTTATGCGAAACAATGTGCTTACGATAGAAATAATTACTATTGTTATATGAAAGGAATGATTATATTGTTAAAAATTTGATAATTATGATAATTATCAGATTTAATTCAATCTATAAGTACCTGTTTCCTTTGACTCGTGAGTTTAAGAGAATTTTGACCCACATCAGTATCACACCATTAGTTCTCAACAATCAAAAACAATATTAAGTACTGATCAGGAGCTGGTCGATGACAACCAATGTATAGGTCTTGTATACCCCTTAATTATCTCATTTGCATCAACAGATAACCACATTTCAAATCTAAAAAATGACAAGAAATGATCCTTCATTTAATTTGTTTTCTGCATGTAAAAACTGCTATAAAAAATTGGACAACGAATTTATGCATGGACCAAATAAAAGTCAGTATTCCTTCAGTATCTTCGTTTCTAGGATGAACCATTTTCTGGTCCCAGTTTGTCCAAGAATATGTCATCTGATAATACAACTGAGTTTTGCTTTGCTTTTCTTTTCCAGAACCATCAACCCTTTCTCTGTTATACCTATTCTCTTTTCTACCCAATCTTAATCGTTCGCTATTCTACTCTTTTATTCTCATTTTATTATAAATACTCCTGTTCTCCTTCTGCTGAGTAACGTTTGCTTGTAGAAGCTAGTTGAAAATTTGATCATATACCTCGTCTCCTACATTAATAGATACTATTACATGCCCTTTTTGCCCTTCTGGAAATAATCACACTGTCTTATTTGTTCAGTGGCATAAGTAAACAAAATTCCTGATAAATCCTCGATATCCTTAATATTTGTTTACTAATCTCTACCTGTGTTGAACAAGTTTATCACTCGTTATCAAATTTATTTATATCTATCTACCCACGAACATTCTAGTCAGTGACTTTGCCTTGCACAAAATTATCTGCTCGAAAAAGGTAGGACGCTATTTAAATTGAGATTATGGCGTTTGGCTGAAGGCCAAAAAATACAAATGTTCTTGTATCTTCAGTGTTACGTACACTGTAATATGACTAGGTTAATGTGAATTGTTATTTTTTACATAACTAATAATTGTTTTTTACTAAATTTCTTTTTTTAAGTATATATTTTATTATCAGTTCTCGTATTTTTTACTTTATTTTAAATGTTAATAAAGTTAAATTCCATAAATTTAAAAAATGTTATAAATATCCCATGAAATGAAGCCAAACAGTTTGCTTCAATACCAAAAACCTAACTATAACCCTAATTGAAGATACTACGAGAAACAGTTACTCTGTCAGCTACACACTCAAATTAACATTGAATTATACTGCTGGTATAATTCAATGTCTACTAAACAGCTGCTAATAATAAGTATATTGACATTGTCGTTTCATAATATCATTTTTACTAAAAGTTTTATATATAATTTTGTTCTATTTATATATAGGGTGGTTTCACTTTAAATACAGAACTGCCGGACTACATTCGTTTCCAAAAAATAAGTCGACTTTTTGCTCTATAAACTTTTTTCTGTGGGAGATGCAGGGTATTAAAGTTTAAAAATATATATAGGTATATTTTTTGCCATATCTTCACAATGCGCTGATTTAATTGAATTAAATTGACTATTCACTTAATTAGACCTTTTATCGAATGTAATATTAACCTTGTGGCTTTAACCAGTGGCGTGCTTCTTGATGTGCCATCTCATTTTCCCAAGAAAAAAATACGCTGCAGGAGGTTTCGTAGAAATAATGAATGAAAAATTTTCTAGGTGTTTTTAAATAGTTGCAGTGAATATAATGTAGTAAATTTCATTCAAATCGTTCAACGCATTATGAAGATATGACAGAAAAAATATATATTTTTTGGAAACTTGAACACCGTGTATCTTGCAAACTTTACTTATTTTTTAGCAATTAATCTATTCCTGCAGTTTTTGTATTTTCACCCTGTATATTAATTCCGTTTGGAAGAACGCCACGCCAGTTGAAAAAGCTATAGTAAAAAAAAGTAAAATTGGAGATCTCATCCATCGTGGCTATTTTTGAGTGTTGGTCTTTGTCAAGAGTGATGTTAGAGGAATAAGAATACAAGATATTTCTTTGAAATATATACCATGTGTTTTTACAATACCGCTCATTAAAAATAAAAAACAAATATTTTTAAGCATTTGATGTTTTTCTAAAGAAACAAATAAAACATGAAAAATGTTCACATGTAAATCCAACAGAAGAACTTATTCTAATAATAAATAACAGAAATTGTAATAGTCTATTCCGTATCATATTTTACCAAATATAATAGTTATTCTATTATTTCTATTGTATATTTATTAACCAAATAATTACAAATTTAGTACGCCAATGGTACCTTCACTGTAGTAGCTTTTTTAATATCGATTTTAGTAAAAATATTGTTTGGGAAAACACAATCTTACAATATGTATTTGTCAAGTCTTTTCAGATCGAAGATAGCAGAGTGACCATCGCGGTACTCATTTTATTCCAATATTTGTTTTTAAAAATATTTAAATTACTGAAGAGCCTTTCCAAATCTGTATTGGAAAAGGGTAATATAAAAGATCACCTTAATTAAAATTCGCAAATTCCTGTTAAAAAGCTCTCTTTTTTCTTATAAACTTTTATTAGAGAAATTGTTCTGTATTACTTAACGTTTAAAAGTTATATCAAAAGAGTCTCAAAAGAAATACCACCGAAAAGTCACATTAGCGGTAGAAGGATCAAGTAGTCGTTGGAAAATAATTGAATGTTCGTTGTTTAAAGTGCATAAATGTCACAAAATACTTGTCATTACTAAATACCAACGTCAAACGTATAACCTTTGTGCTAAAAAATTTGAGTATGTTTCTGGAAAAAATATAATCATTAGTCGTTTCTGTCAAATCCCAAAGATAATACTTTCGATTGAAAATGGAGCTTATCTCATCCCATTTAACACCATGTGTTCCAAATTTTATTTAAATTTTTTGTATCCTCACAGTAGTCCCATACTATCCAGTTTGATACAGGCTGTACATAAATTTCGATCTAATAATCGCCCTAGAAATCAAAAAAACGCTTCGAGTGATTATTTTTTGCTGAAAAACGTTCCATACAATTTCGCACTCAGGTCCTAGCTTTATCGCGATCTCCTCCATCTCCCTTCGTTGCGGCGCGGCGCCTACTTAGTTAATTGCCCGAAGACAAACCACCTTTTGTCTGGAGGCGTCCGTCTTGTTGTGATGCCGAATTTATCTGCGGATTGTGTCCGTTTCATTGACTAGAGGAGCCCGGTCGATATCGGCCCTGATTGAATGGGACCCGGTTCACATGGGACCCACAGCTCGACGGGCGACACTACTGATTGCGCGCCGCCGTTGTGTTTACATTCCACGATTTCCTCAAGGAAGTAGGAGGGCCGAGGAAGGATCTGAACGTTTATCGCTAATGCTTACTCTGTCTCATAGCAAATCTGTAATTTTACTTCACTTTAAAAGCAAAGATTATTTTTTGCATTTTAAGTTAAATAGTCGACACTTTTGGCATTGGCGTTTCAAAATTTTTTCTCTAAACAACAATCAACAATCCTCAAAATGGTAATAAATAATTTGTGGACGAATTTATTGGTAAACGGTTACATTTATCGGCTTGAATAAAGAGTACATAATTTTTTCTGATATTGTTTCTCTTTTCATTAATGTTTAAATTTCTGTGATGTCTAGCAAGAGAAAAAAGTTATGAACAAAACAAATTTTTAGTTCTAAGTAAAGTGCCCTCTAGCGGTGCACAATGAAACTTTTCTCTGACTGGTCTAGTAGAGCTTCATCTACTTAGTGGGTGTGCCAAATGAGAGACTAATCAAACTTGAATTAAATAAGTTATTTAAATATAAACATTAACAATTGACAAGTCGAAAAAAAATTTCAATATATACTGCTATTTCAATCCATAGAATCACTTCCCGGAGTTCCCTGACGAACTTTCACTCTATATAAGTTTTTTTTTAATTTGATGTATATTGTCCCCTATAAAATAACGGCACATAAACTTCTAACTGTATACGGAATATCTAGGAAATGGTGAGTAATCATAAGTTTATGCAAACGTACTTTTAGGCTCACCCTGTACTATTATTAGCTCCTGATGTTGTGACCTTGTTGTATAATGTTTCATTTAATTATTTATAATTATTTGGATGAGCTTACTTTTGAAGTAAAATAAAATACAGTGGTAATAAAAAATGTGTAATTGAAAAAAAGATATGTAGGTATTTGGAGTTTGAAATAATTAGGTCTTTAAAGCTCTTACGGTTAAATACATATTTGTTTCAGAAAATTAATGTTGTAGTTCTTAGCGATATTATAAATTTCAACAATGTTTTG